ACTGGACTCATCACTCGTTTGAGCAAGGCAGACTTGGCCTTCTTCAACGACAACAAATTTCCCCGATAAGAATTTAGATCGTAAAACGCCGCCGGCGCTGCCTTTATCTAAAAGTAGCTCCGGCACTCACTTAGCCCTAACCTTTGTCGATGTTGCTCTAACCGGCGCCTTATGTACCCAGTCCTCGATATGCGCCCCGAACACTTCTACGGTTGGCGTTAATTCGACATACGATTTAGGCACTTTCAAATTTGGCTACCGAGTGAAAGCGTATTTGATTCGCTCAGTCGTTCTCCCCCTCAGGAGGTCGTTGTTTCTGTTTTTCCGTGCTATTTTTTAAAGACATAGTTAAGCAGGGTGGGCGTTAAGTAGGAGTTGTCAGACGTAGAAGCGACTGCCGCCGTATAAAAAAAAAAAGACAACTTATCTTTTTGTTACTACCTTATTTATTAATTACTCTATTATATTACGCTATCTAGTGCAATGTTATTCTGTACCACACTACATGTTATATTTCTGTGTTGGCATTGTTGTTTGTCCTTGCTTTTCACCATCAACATATTAAGCAGATACAAAAGTATCTGTACTATGTTTTTTTTTCGTGACAATTCTACATCGCTGCTGATTTTCGTGCCATTGTTGTATCTGTCACTACACAGCAGCCGTAATAGCTAGTAGTTTTCGGGTTCGGTATCCCGCCTGACTCAATATGCGCTGCTGAACGCCATTTATTCTATCGTTTCTTTCTCATCCATTCTCTGTACGTCGTTCACAAGTTACGTGCCGCCCGCTCTTGCGACTGCGACCGCTGTCGCCACCGTTTGAAGCAATTATTCCCCCTCTCCCCACCGCCATCTTCCCACCACGTCGGTGCACGATAGGACAGGAAGGCTGTATCGGTTCGATTAACCGAATTGGTTACAAGCCAAATTGTCGGCTACGACGCTGATGCCTGCCAGGAGCCGCTGCGCATCGGGCAACTTTGTTCGGGCGAACAGGCAAACCGCAGGACGGACCTCCGTCGCTTCTCGAATCGCTTTCATACCGAAATGTTGGCAGTGATGGTAATGGGTGAGATGGGCGCGACTACGACACCGCTATAGAAGCCGATAACGCATTGTAGAAACATGTAGATGAAACAGCAGGATGATAGGCGAGAGGATGAGTGAGTCTACGTTTTAATTTCGTAACGGCACGGATACTCTGGGGCACAAACTCACCGAATATCTGCCGGCTGGCGAAGTAACTGTACTATGTGTTATGGATACCTGTACTGGCCCGCAATGATGTTTCCGTAGACCAGTGTGGGACCCTTGGTGGGACCTGTTGTGTATTTACTGTTGCCGGACTAAGTGGAACCGCTAAACGGTCGCGTTGAAGAGGTTTTATAATCGATGAAGCTTGGCACCGAAGCATAGCGAAAGGGGGCTAGCGGGCTGTAGATTGGAGGGGCACCAGAACGAAGACAAACTGTTAGCGTATTTAGCGATCTGCGTGACGAATATGTGCGAGATATAGCCAAAAAAAAAAATGTAATTCTGCCTAAAGTGTTGGCTATAATGGCAGATACCTCGTATTTAAGAGAATGTGGCACATTATATGATAGTATATAGAGCGATTTGAGCGCCAACACTAGACGGAGCAGTTGGCTGTGAGTAATCATGTGGCACTGTCAAATAAGTAACCATAAAACATTATTGACAATTTTCTAGATCTGGATTAAATAAGCGTAGTAATCCAGGCGAGGGTGTTTACCACGGCCATGAATCGTTGGCATAACGATTTTTTTAATTCTGCTGCTATCGTCTCCTGCTAATTCATCTTCCTCTCAATGCGCTTCTATGAATCGCACTTATTTCTAGTTCATAATTAATGGTTCGAATCGAAACCAAAAAAAAAACTTTCTCCGAATTCGGAGCACTTGTACAGTGCGATACCTACCACTAGAAGCCAAGCCCCGATGGCGCCAACGCTACGGGGGCGTAAAATTTTTCAAAAAATCACTTCAGTAAGACGGACGCGCACGCGCAAAGCCAAAATGAAGCAAAATAACAAATCGATATTTTCTAGCTATATTGTCTGTTACTCTATTCTTTGCCTGCCTCCATAGTTGCTTTATTATTGCGTACCTTTGACAAAAAATACGTACTTCGGTATTAGTTCCAACGTGATCGAACGGTTTCACTACCAAATAGAACTTACATTTGCGCGTCGCTTATATGAACGCACTTTACATAGCCAAAAATGCGCGTCGTATAGGTCTTCTTGCCTGGCCACAGCTTGATGTAATGTCCGGTAGAAGAAAACAGGCACCTTGGTCCTATTCTTCACAAAGACATCAATAGGGGGAGACACAATCACTAGTAAATTGCTATGCGTGTCCTTCGTTTGTTCTGAATGGCAACAAATAATGGTCAGTTTATATTTATCCGGTGAGAGCTAAAGCAGGCAGCATTGGGTAGACGATATTCAATATATATAACTACGTACTGAGGTAAATACGACACGAGCAGATACGGACGTTGAGGGTAATGTGAAGGTACCGACTAACGGCTAAGGTACGGTTTCTGCTATTCAGACTCATAGGCCTTGCGTAAGCTGTTTCGTGTAGCAGCGCAGTCGACTTGTGAAATGGGGCCGAAATAGCCAAGAATACTGTTCATATAAGCTAACATTTCAATTTGCCCATTAAATTTTTGATTCTACAATGTATGCCCTGTTCTACAAATGATACGTGAATTCGCTGCATTAATAGTGTACAGATATGAGATGTAAATATTAACAAAATACTTTACATTAGGAACGATGTATATGAGGCGGTATAAACCAATTCCGAACATGAAGCTGAAAAAAAAAGTGCTGAATTATAACAAATTATAGGGAATTATTATTTCTTATTCTCTTGGAAACTATATAAATTTAACTATATACATCACTATGCTTATTTACGAAGGACCACCTTCCTAAATGTATATGGATACACTGTCAAACTTAGGGCTCTATAACCTCAAAATTAGAGGTGACTCACTGACGAATGAGGTAAGTTGTATAGAAATGGTGTCCTTTGTACCGCCGGACTGCCTGCTAGTTTCGTGCCTATATATCTCATAAATTCTAAGCATATATATGCGCACGAAATTGTTTAATTAAACAAAAAAAAACTGTGCTTCTTTTTTCGTTTCGAAGCACTCGTCGTAGTCACCTTCTGCATTGTCCAAAGCCTTTGAGACAGTGCATAGACCCCTGTTGTTCCGGGCGAGGTATATATTTATAAGGAACTACATTACAACAGGTTTTTAAGAAATTCCATTTAATAATTACCGTAGTACCGATCCTATCCATATTTCCAATATGATCGGTCTTGGCAATAAGTCTGATTTCGATTTAGACGATATAGATGTGAGAGATTACCTGCAAGTGAGAAACATTATATGATAAGATACTAGTTAATATGTAATGTCTTACACTATTTAGATACAACACTTAACTTCATAGGAAATTTTTAACTTGAAGTAAGGTGACTGCTCGACGAAACACAATCAATTCAATCAAGAAAAATCATATACAAATTTACCCGTATTAATGCATCTCTCCAAAAAAAAAAAATATATATATATATATATATATATATATATATATATATATATATATATTTTTTTTTAATTCTTTCATTTTTTTATTTCATATCATATCATATCATAGAAATTTTTCAAACTCGGATCGGTTTAGCATCCTTATCTCCTAGACAAGACTCATTATAAGCTGTTCAACGAACCTCAAACACCCACAATAACAACAGATTTCAGACGGCCATTTGTCTACAAGGTTCCGCCATAATGCGATAATTACTCTAACATTTCACATTGGACATTGAGCAACCGAAGCTACACGGATTCGTTTCTGTCCTGTCATACGTTGAAGCTTTCCATTCATTAGGTGTAATTGGCTGGCCACGATCAAAAGAAGCTGATGGGATCGGCTATAAGGCGTCTTTCAATTCAATTGATAGTATATATATAATGCTCAAAGGCATTCAGAATCTCCTTACAGATTTTTCTAATTAAAACATCAGCTTCTAACTGCCAGCATATCAACCATTAATTTTCGTCATGATTTTACGTTCACCTCTGTTTTATAGCCTCATTCTATCGTCTGCTACGGACCAGGTAGCGGCGTATCGTAAATTAGCAACATTACACAAAGACCAGCCGCGTCACATTTATGTCGTGAAAAGACGATGATAGATCACATATACTCTGCCGAAAAAAAAAACACCAATCTAACAATAATGGCAGCAAGATGAATCTGCAATTGTAACGTAATGATCACTATCCAGGGATCCGGAGTTCCCCAAGTCTTCTATTCCCAGATGTTCCCACGTCGTCCTTAGTTCGTCTTCCAACTTGTCTTTGTCGCTTCCGCTTTTCAAGCAGAATGACAACGACAGGCCAGCTAGCGAACAGCGGGCCAAGAGCTAAAGCTGTGCAATTGTTTCACTAACGCCTTTCGCCAACTGTAAGAAGGCTTGTCGCCGAAAAAAGCCCACACAACCACCAATAGCCCTGAAGATGGCAAATAATAATCATGGTTTATTAACCCGCACCGTCTGCTATTCTTTAGCAGCGGTAGCAATGCACATGTTCCGTTTCGAACGAGTGACGTACGTAAGCTAGAGTTACAGCAGAAGGCATTACAAAATGCTCCTGAAGGGGCGCTCACTCAGTAGCTAGCAGACGAAGAGGGACAAAATAATAATGGCTGATAATGACCAGCCGGTGTTTATTATGATATTACTTCGAGTTTACTTCGTCAGGTTGTTTCTTTTCGACTACCTTGCGAACAACGTCTGTATCAGCAGCTAGAACAATGAAACTGAGTGTCATCCATACACCTGGAGGCCCTGGAAGAGATTGGACGGTATAATGCCATTCCGTCCCGCCGCCCACAGTGGTAACCGACGCATCTGTCTGACTGATCCGTCGACGGTGCTGCAACAGCTCTTAGTGATTTAGAACTGCTGCCACCGGGGCTAAAATAAGCAAGAGCTATTGGCCCGACTGCCACGTTGACTATAATGCATATGTACTACTTCACTATAAATTCTCCATGCCCAGTCCTCACTCTCTGTTATCTAGCTGCATTATCTAGAGCAGTTGTTACCATAGCGTTAAGCAGTATTGTGGCATAGCTTCCCGTGGGCAAATCCCGTTAGGAGCCAAAGCCTGACGTAACGCTTGTTGTTGTGTTGAAAGTGAAATAAAGCCGCAGTCAAAATAGTCATCCCAAGAGCGGATGCCACCGTCCGAACGAACGTCCATAGGATTGGACATGCCTCTTGATGGCGGTGAGGCTGAAAAACAGATCAGCTTGGAGACGACGATGATCCGCCCGAGCGCCCTGCGACGCATAGTCTGCCTCAGCCTATTACGTTACGCAGCAGCAGAGGTAACAGAAGCCGCAGCCATTTTGTAACGAATGGCGGTCGTAAGTGATTTGGCAGAGTTTTCGTGCGTCTTCCTTATGTAGGTCTTAAGCCCTTTGTTTTTGCTCTGCTGTGTTTAATGGCAAGCTGTAAGTAAGACAATAATGACAATGATCATCATATTTGTGATGATTATAGTCGTTCTGTCTAGTCCTTGCCTGCTAAAAAAGTTGAGCTAAAATACCCATATAGATACCTGCGCTAAGGAAGCTCTACTATTGCAAGATAAATTTCGATAGGTTTTGCCGTCGGTCGTTGTTTTTTTTCTCGGTTAGGCTTATGGCTACGCGGCTCCTGAATGAGCATAAATTATACAGCATTTATCTGACAACATCATTTAGAGAAAAATTAACTATGGATAAAATCACGGCCGGTAGAAACGAAAAGACAGACAAAAGGGCGGATAGCAGCACAGGGCACAGTAAACCAATGACAACGAGAACAGAGTTTCCTGCACGACGTAAGTCATGCAGTTGTGGTAGTTACAAACCAGTGAACCAGTACGTGTTAAATAATCGCAGTCTTTGACGGCGTCTTTCATCATAGCTTGTCCATGATAGCGAACGGCCATTGTCTCGTATAAAGCGATGAGCATCAGTGAGGTCTGCCGGCCTTCTGAGGTCAACTACTTCATCTGCCAGTTGCCAGCGAACATAGTGGTTATCCCCTAAACATCGGAAAAGCACTTTTTGACGCGCAAATAATGATGCAATAAAAAGCTCAATATTAAAAAATTACCAGCATCAGGCCGCAGTCGTCCAGCGATTTTCCAGGTTAACCCATACGTCGTAGGTTTTAGGTATGATGGACGTATAAAGTGAAGCAATAATAGTAATAATACGCTTAGTTCCTATACGTATAGGATTTCCTCTTGAAGAGAGCCGCGTTCGTACGATTTGCTTAAAACGAGTGAATCAGAATTTTTTTTTCGTGGCTTTTTCACGAATTATAATTAATTTTCTATAACTTTATTCTATTATACAATGCAGTGTATAGTTGTGCCCTGGGGTGCTACTGCTTTCCCTATAACCTATCGACAAACATTACAACAGAACATTAGCAGTCATCCGTTCAACGGTAATATTCGACGGGTGCTATTGTGTCCGTAGCTGGTCCTGCTGTAGCCGCCGATGCCACGCACGATTAAGCAATTCAGTTGGCTTTTAGTCAGAACTCTGTCAGCGAACCTTACCATCTCGCAGTAACGCACGCACATATGTATGATGGTAGGTATCGAAGTTCGGTCTTTCGTTTGTCTCCTTTAGGCAGATAAGGCTAGTACGCTTCACTTTACTTTCGCTTTCTGCGACGATAACAACGGCAGTAACAAAAATGACAACCAAGTACGGCCCACAGCCAAATGAACCAGACGAATCAGCCGTCGCGAGTCCGGCCACGCTAGCTACCATCCAGCTGCCCAACAGATAGCCAGACTACCCCGTGTACTGTTTCCCAGCTGCTGTAGCAGCGCCTGCAGCAGCGAACAGCGAACGCAAATAATGGTGAATTGTCTTGTCGCCCCATTATTGCTGATAGGGGCAAAGCACTAGTAGAACTATAAATGCACCATCAACATACTATTATCATCACAAGTCTGCTGCTGCCGCCGTTGCTCGAGTTAGACCTAAACAACTATAGCAGCACGGCAAGGGGCAAGCAATAGCATACATCCGATATATGCATGGAGGAGCTAGGTGTGTCGCTGTGTGTGCGCGTGGCTGGCTGACTGTTAGAAGGGCAGACGCCGAGGGCAGCAGACGACATCGTCGTCTCACGCAACGTGGCAGAAAGACCGCAGGCTTTCGTCCGAAAACTTCTGCAGAGGAAACAATATTGCTGGTGCATTATTAGAAATGATTGATAGTGATTAACCTGGATAAAGAAGGTGGGAGGCCGAACTGAGGAGGAACAAGCCCACTGTATTTCGTTTTCGCATCTCGTCATTTGCTAAACAGGGCTGACGCATACGGGAACGATTCGTTCTATACGTCACATGTCTTAGTCATCATCAAAACTTTGTGGCCAGGGTACCGGGGTGTCTATGTTAACAGGTGTGAAATAGATTGTCACGGTTTCAGGGACAGACTGTGGAACTGCTGGAAGGATGGTACAAGGTTTTGTACTCGCTGATTTATCAATTATTAGAAAAAAAAAAATCCCCTATTGGAGAAGACCTACGGGAAGGTGTTTTGTGCATGTTTCATGGGTATATCGTTGGTGTTTATAGCTGCAGGAATAACGTAAAAGATACGATGCTGAGTTTGCCGGAAGATAATGCATGATTATATATATATATATATATATATATATATAAATTACTGTTCAAGTCCATTAATTTTAACGCTAAACATGGCGGATAATTTGAAGCAGAGCTTCTATTACTCGATCTGTTATGGCGTTGTACTGTACTTATCGTTGTATTATTTAGTATGTATAGATAGCGTTAAGAAGCCTAAGAAGTTGTCGCCTTTTAAATACCTAGGAAAGACATCGTGGGATTGGAAAATCAGCTTCTCAGCCAATCTGGCATCTGACGTTCGAAAAACCCGGGCATTATGATCGTAATTTGTATTACTTTTAATTAGGACACCACGCAAATTATACGGTCTACACATATCAAATTATGTTTACCGAGAATCTTCTCATTATATGAGAGAGATTTCACTTGACATATATTTTATAATAAAGAAAGAAAATTCATTAAAACAGCAGCTGCATCTCATAGTACTTCAGTAGCACCCCAACAGCAACACCAATAACAATCATCATCGTAATAACGCTAATAACGGCTTTTCACTAGCGACACTATTCCCCAGAGGCACACAAGTGGTACAAAAAAAGTGGGTGTGGGCAAAGATACTGATTGCAGAGGCGCTAGAAACTTCGACGAAGGCCGTAGCATTCAATTTGGCCCGATTCAGATTATCGCATAACACACACACACAGACAAACCGATAGATGCAAAACAAACAAGCAGATGCACACCGGAATACATCTTCCCGATCTAATTGACTCAGTGCCCTGCTGACGGCATCGCTATCTTTGACACGAATTGACTTTTGCGGGGGCACTGGCACAAATGAACGCGGGGGCGCGTGACGCCTGCTGGGTCGGCGTAGCGCTGTTGCAAATTGCGTTGTGACTCGAATGCGTTCTTTAGCAGCATCCCATCTATTGGCAGCGTTACTGAACAGTTGTCACTTTACACGATCGTGACAAGCATCCACACTAGTCCTACTGAAATACATCTACATGCTGTAGATTTATCCATATCTTCTAGGCCTGTGGCGGATCGGTAGCACGTAATAGGCCTCCGGACATAATGGCATAACACAGATAGCGCACAATCAGTTCCGAACTTGGATTGGTTTATTATTATCTGATAGTTTCTATTCTATGCATTAGAGTAATCAACCGGTTTCTGTCGAGTGTTGAAACCCTGTATAGATCCAATTCTCATTGCTTGTGCTAGTATTGTATAAAAACATATATCCAACGAAACATCTACAGTCTAGTCAGCCGTTATAGGGATACGTGGGATTGAGATACTTTATGCTATATGATGCTAGGAACACATCGCCGACAATCGTCGCTGACCTAAACATACATTCGACCACTGTCATAATGTCAGCCACGATCAAAGCAATGGGACATATGAAATAAGTGTCTGTCTTGTGCTTAGCAAAGAGGGGAACTCTAAAGAAAAAAAAAAAAAAAAGCTATAGCGTGCAGTACATATAACGAACACGAACCGTTAGTTTTACCGTAATCGGATTTTTTGCCGACCGATTGACAGACTCATTGCAGTCACATCCTGGTGTTGCAGCATCGAAAAGATTTTAACTGCCCTTTACCCAAAACGACAGATGCGTTGTATATATGCCTGCGTGAAAAAGCTACAATTATTCAGCAATATATATACTGTGTTGAATTACGACATCGAGGGCCATTATAATGACACGACCGACGTTACCTGGCCAGTTATACTGATAGTTCGACACTCACGTATCCTTTTAATACTGATCCACACACAGCTATCCTGAATGTCACGCCAGAAAAGTTACAGTGGCACAAATAGGACCACCAAATGCTCATTTACCTAAAATCCCGTAGAGCAATCGTGACCAAGACGTTAGAAGACGGCTGTGTGCTGAACCGGTTATAGTTAAAATGATAATCCTAGTTTTTCTGATTTGTTCCTAGGTCTGAGTCACGTATCTAGGTGCGGATAGCCGCCGTTGCGTGCCCGTGCAACGTCGCCACTGTTCCGATTTCGTTGGCCAGATTGCTTGCACTTACTTCAAAATAACGTACGATTCTGGGTAGATGAGACAGTGTAGCAATGTCTCATTTTTGGAGTTTCGCTCTATGTTCGCTTTCTCCCGATAGACGCTATCGTATAGCAGATGCATCAGCGAAGGATATCGCCATCAGAGCTTGCTTTCCTTGCAATACCCGGCTGCTGGGACTGACTCGTACAGGTCAGGTAGGTACTACGAATGAACTCGTCCCTTGGCTATAAACATTTCCTCTACTAAACTAAGTGTTTCAAGGCTAGCAATTATTGTTAGGAAATCGTTTCACCACCCTTGCTAGTCTAAGGTAGAAAAATAACAGTACATGTTGTTCCTTTTTTATTTCAAAAATGGTCTAGCATATCACTGTAGTTTGACAGTAATCATACTATGCAATTATCCGGACGTTTTGTTTAGCATTTCCGTGCTTTTTCTGTTTCTTATAGCGCACACATGATGTTATCGGAGCTCGTTCGTATGCCAGTCAATAGCGTACAACCCTTTTTCAAACAGTTCCTCGATTTTGACGTTTGGACAGCTGGATCTTAGCGTATTCGTACAGCTTAATTCTCGTAGGTGACCCTCAATGGATACAGTCTTGTGTTTGCTTCTTGGTTGAACCATTTTTTTTGCCGCATCGTTGCTAGACCGGCTCGATTGCGCATGGCGATGATATACAACGATCGTTACTATTTACTACTACTACTGAATCATTTTGACTTTGGTAGCTTGGATCTGTTAGTTCGTTGTTGATTCAATTGTTTGCGTTATTTTCTCTCTGTACATTTTCCCTTACCGAACTATTTTCGCGTTAGGTCAAATTAGGGCAGGACCATTTGCCTGAACTGTGACAAATCAGTTCAAGACATTAGTCCTTGAACATTGTCAGACCCGTCGTTAAGCGCCCCGTGCTATCTATATGGCCGTCGATTGTGGCACGAACAGAAGGCAGAAACTCGCACTACTATTTCGATTAAATTCAAAGGGAATTTACACCTGTTTTTACTGTTTATTTTAAATTTTTGAGCGATTTTGGCATCCGGCTGTAACAGATATCTCGCAACAGAATCACAAAGTGACCAGCTACGCTTGATGCGACCTTTTGTCAAACGATGACACGGCGCCGGATCACGCAAACTTGGGTTTGAGAAGTTTCGTGTTATGCTTTCAACTCCGTCGTCACATCAGGTACGGTGCGTGCGTGATGAACCCGTTCGTTTTTGTTCGGAGCTATTATGTCTAGAGATTAGATGTTTCGTAACAGCTTAATCCCGAACAGCCGTCATCGAATGGCCAGCAAGATGGAAGGAGGTCGTACGACACAATTCGAGGTCAGTATCTATCCATTGCTTATGAGGAAAGGCGAACATACATATAAGATAGCGAAGCCTCGATATTTCATGGCGATCGAGGCCTGTCCACATATGTAGAGCTAGGCAACAAAAGGCACTGATTTAAAGATAATTTGCGACCCGTCGTAACTTTGCTATTATATGAAAACAATAGGCTCATTGTCTTCAGCCGGACGACAAAGTAACAGTGTTAGTTGATAACAGTAACTATACTCGCATAGGGCGACTTGTTAGTCTGGATCGATTTTTGTATTCTCTCTGTTTTTACAGTTTTTTTTTTTTTAATACAATTCAAACGTATGCCAATCGGCCAGAATAAACACAAACAAGGAATCGATTCGATATTAGGCATAAGAGCAGGTTCTCCTGACTGGCTCCCAACAGACGACTGGGTTTGCAATGACGATTTGCATTTCCGCGTGAGCGCTCACTGCCACCACCGCCGCTGTCTCCGCGCCAAAAGCCCTTTTCGCTTGTTGAACTTCCATGTCAGACACGTTTATAACTTTGCATTAGGGCTAAGCTAGTGCTTCCGTTGTTGCTTGCTTTACTGCAGCAGGAATCGTATGATTCAAGTGATAGATTCGGAGCATAGGTCGGATAATCGGCGAACCACGGCAAGCAGCGAAAGGGCAAAGGAAACGAGGATGGTATCTGCGCGATGAGTCTGAGGATATGAGCGGCGGGGGACTGTTCCGGCTGGGAGAGACCTATTCGGACACGTTAGGACATGAAGAATTACCAGCCCATCTTGGGGATTGCATCGAGTTGTTATTGTTGTTGTAGCAATAGAAGTCTATGTGACCATCACTTTCATTTGGCAGCTAGTTGCGCTATATGAGCGTCTTGAACGTCTAATAGAGCGATGAAAGGCGAATGTATCATAATGGTTGATACTGATACTGGCCGATAGCGGGGGCGGCGATATGGAAGTAATAAGTCACCGACGCCCACTTTAATCTAATATAGAAATACCTACGTGCATAAATTAATACGACTACGTCTGCGAGGACAGCATTAGAGCGATCCGAATGTACGATATGCTGCCCTTAGCAGGCGGCGCGTCCGATTCTGAAGAGTTGTGGCACATATATTAATGAAATTTATGAAGGAACTCGCCCCATCTGCTCGTGCGTTCACAATTTATAACAGAAATAAAGTACCTACCATATTGAGAAATAGGTACGATGTCGCTCGAATCGAATTATGCCCAAAGCCTTTCTTTGATATAGTTTATATCATTCGGCCGACATATGTGAAATGGTACGTTGCCGCAGCTGTAGACGGGCCTATTTGTAGTAAATGAGTAAAAATAAGGCAAGTTGTGGTTTACCGAAAATGTTCTGGGCACGATGCTGTTGACTGCTTATTTTGACATTATGTTCTAATAAATTAATTAATGTTGTAAAATCGAGTGTTCAATTGGAATTGTGCCTTGCTATAGAAAAAAAGATCATAAACAAGCAAATTGGACGATTCAAGGCTTCTTTGCCTAACTATGACTAACATATATACGGGGAAAGATGTAGCATCATTAGGATTCAGGATTAGCCGGTCCCATGCCTCGACCCTCTGTAGTAAGGAAAGCCAAACAGCTCTTTACTGATCTGTCGACTGCACTTATTATTAATAAGTAATAATAATAATTATGTGTTTGACTATATAATAGAAAACTGGTCAACAATGGAGGGTTGAGTAAACGCTGTACCAGCGATGTGTATACTTATAAACTATAAGGTATATCGTATCAGGTCGAAACGCCTTGACCTGTTCGGCGTTCCCAGGTAGCGGATTTGGACTTTAGTGATGTAAACTGCTATTAGAGCCAATAAAGACACAGGATATAAGAAATGTACTTTGGCATCGCCAACACAAAACCAGCATCTCAGATAGACAGTCGCTGATGTCTGTTTGATGCAGCGGGTCAATGCGTATAATGAACAAACCAAGGGCATACAATGTCGTCTGTATGAGACTATGAAGATCTGTCTCACTCCATACAATGTCACATGTAGAACATTCGGTACGCACAGGTCTTTCTGTCGATTAACTGAATCGGTTTACCCTATGATCCTTGCCCACCACGTGGTTGAATAATTAGCTTTGCCATAATTGTCTGTAACTGGGAACTGGGAATGCTCCGATGGCATAAAAATGCACTATATGAAGAACGAAAGATCGAAAAATGTGTTGGAACTGTTGGTGGAAGGTACAAAGTGTCTTCCTGATACCGAATGCTACAGAGATAGGACGGCAAACATTAAACCAATATACGGTTGGCTATCGAAATATAATGACAATAATAATTTGTGTGTACCTATGACCAACCATCTCAATGAAGAGCGCTTGTAACTACTTAGGTTCAGCACAGTCGTGGACCGCTATTCGAAAGGACTGCTTACTCCTGCCTCATCTGCCGGTCGGCCCCTCCCGTTTGGCAAAAAAGTTCGTGTATGGACCCGAGAGGGTGGTGACGAAAGGGCGGGGTTTTTTTTTCTCTTGGGTCCAAATACTGCTCCTACTATAATAGTGGATAGGTTTTTTTTTCTAACGACATCGAATGTCGTCAGCCATATCAGACTAAAAATCCGACCTAACCTGAATATTTTAACTATATAGATCCACACAATCCGCATATCATTTCTAAATTAGTCATCTTTTTGATAGATGCAGCGACGGTTTTATTGGTCGTTTATGGATTACGACCTCGTTTTGCCATTCTTCTAATTCCTAGGTTCGTTCTCGCTCTCTCTCTCTCTCTCTCTCTCTCTCTCTCTCTCTCTCTCTCTTACATAAAGTATTTTACTGTCCTTTCTATAAAATACGTTCTCTTATTTTCGTTCTCCAGTTTCCGCCTAGCGCCATAGTCGCCACCTGACGCCTGCGTTTTTTTTTGTCTCTTGCCTCGTAGGGTCATTGCTTTATGCGATTGTACAGACAAACAAGCCAGTAGGCCGATATGGCGGCACATTATAGTTGCCTCTTAACAGCTGCACTTAGAGTCTTTTGCGCCCGGCGTAATCACAATCATGCAGCCGTTGGTATCAGCCTCTTCGGTGGTTCCTTTATGATCCGCATAATGATAATAATATTAATCAAAGTTATCTTTTCAAGTATCTCGTCGCTTGGACGACATATTTATACCACGACAGGCTCTACGAGGGAGGCCCAGTATAGGCTGACACAAGTGAAGACGATAACGCGCATATATATCTATACCTGTAACCGCGCTGGTAAGAGGAGCCGGAATTCCGACAACATCCATCGTCTATTACGATACACGTAGTATGTTCTTTGGCATAACAACGAGAAGACGCAAAGACAGCATAAACGGCGTCGGGAAAACGCCAAGACGTGTTCAGCCGACGGAAATGACGACAGCGAGTCCCACCACGACTTCGAATCGTAAGCTGCGTACGCAGACAAAGGATACATCGCCATCCTTCTGCACCAGCGGCAATTACCTTCATCGTGAACATCAACCGGGTATAAGGCGGTATAAGATCAAAGTCTCCGCTTGGCCTGATTAAAACAAAGTGAAACGAAGCCCTAACCCGGTCCGCCCCCGCAACCAGCAGTGATTTCCTCCGTCGCAAAAAGGGGGTGATAGAAAGTAAAGCAGAGGGTTTTTGACAAAGAGGTCGTTGTGGGGCGGCAGTAGCACAGAATCGAAAAGGAACGCCAGTAACATTAAGAACAAGCACTAAACCTGCGACGGTTGAGGCGAATATTATGAGGCCTGGATGCAATTTATTCCTTTGGTTAAGATTCTTTATGCCATCAAATAATACAATTCTCAAAGTTGGGGTAGTCACGTGACGGTAATAGGGTGACAAAGAGCGGAGAGTCTCGGCATGTATAATATCTCGGTCGGCGTGATAATAACAAAACTCTTCCAATTTATAGCTTTAAGCCGACGCTTTTTTAAATAACATTCCAGTCATTTATCAATGGCATATTATTTAAAAAACACGGCATATTAGTGTAGGCATACTCTTCCTTTTATCGATAATTTACTAATACAAAAATAATAATGTCAATATGATAGATACAGACAATTCAAAAACTGGTATAAGAATTCCCCATAAGCATAACTCTATTAATAGAACCCTGTCGTGTTCACACGTACAGTCAATTATAGATTGTCAATTGATATTTGTCTAGATTATTCGTCCACAGTGACACGTATTGAAACAAACAAGATCTTAATAATCTTAACAACAATTTAGCCACCGGGAGAGAACACACTGACTGTACTAACTGAAGCTAGCAGACTAAACTCACTGACATTATATGTATTTCTTCTACGTAACGGACCACTCATCAAAACTACGTGGTTGTTGTCAAGTTCGCCGCTATAATTAGTTATTTGTGATGCATTCTGTGTCCTATTAATTTACGCAAACTCATTAGGGCCGGCTCGTTTACTGTGACGGCGATCATTGCGAGTCAGCCAAGTCAGCCAGCACCGCTTTAGACCCAAGAAGAACACGACGTTCACAATGGCTGCTAGGTGGCGTTAGAGGTATCTTCGATATGCGTGAACCAGCGGATACGTTTATCACCGCTGCAACTGCCGGTGCCCCGTACTGTTGATTGTAGCGGCGACATTCAGTTGTCGTTTACCACTCACGATAAATCTGAAACGCTGCTATAGGACAGTGTCGTCGATGTGGCTCTAAGGTAAACAAGCGACAGAAACAGGGAACATGATGGCTGCCATTATTCAGTTCACTCGTCGCAATATCGATTTAGGTTTTGGCCTAGGTGAATCTGCAGACCCGACATTGAGCAAGTCACTTGACCTGCTTGTAGACGCACAGTTAACACTGTTGCTGTCGATGTTGATGTCAACCAGGGAGCAAACGTGCGGGCATCTATCTGATCAGCTGGGTAGCGTTCTTAGACCCATGTGGGTGTTTGCATATCGGCTCAAAAGTGGTACTCAATGATGTTTCTTTAACTGTTCAACTTCGCTGACGTAATCAACATTGTCGCCTACGATACCAATATCGTCAACAATAACATTGTTGTTGCTGCTAGTCGTAACTGGCTTCGCTTCTGCCCAAACAAATGAACGTCGCCGTCTGCTTCCCTAACCAGGTGGACCTGCAGCGATGTTATCGGCTAACAATAGGTCTCGTTCAAGGCGATGCTGTTCCGAGCACTTATGCTATTATTTGGTATGGTTGCTTCTGGCGATCTCATGTAAGTAGTTGCCCCTCTGGTGTCCCACTGATCTAATGGGATTTCGTTTGCTCAACTACAAAAGCCATTATTATAGACATCTGGATAATAGCATTGTGCTATACCAATGGATGCAGAACTGTTGTTTGCTTAGAGCAGTATATTGTTGTTACGTTGTTAGTTCTGTCGTGACGACGACGATCTGGAATAAAGCCTCAAGAAGGGCAACAGATAAGATGCTCAACAAGCGATCGAGCCGTTGCTGATGGAAAAGATTTTCTTGGAGCGTCGGTTTCCTAGTAACAATTTTCTCATAGAAAAAGATAAGGGAAGCTGATTTTTTTTTTTTTGAAAAAGAGAGAAAATGGCACCGTCCACTGAATAGATGAAAACACCATGTGTTATCGAGAACTTGGTTCGCGCCTGATTCAGGGACAGTTTGACTATAGCCATCGGACTGCGTAACGTGTTGCCACAAGTACATTCCACGAAGTAAAATAGGTAGTATTTTTCTTCTGTGGCTTATTTCGGTTCGATTTAGCAGCGACGTAATTGCAGTAGTGATCCTTCTCACTTTCTCAGCTCCACTAAAATTTGTAATGTTAAATCACAGAACTTGTTTCTGCCTTCATTTACTGATGGCCTCGTGCGCGTCCGTAAGAACATCGCTCATAGACGAATTGACCATGATCCAGTAACCATTCCATCTACATGGAAGTAATTTCGGCACATTCGGACAACTATAGATTACCAAAGATGCGTTTCTTTTTGAAGAACTCAATCTAAATTTATCAATAATAAACTTTATCGGATAGATTTGTCCAGTAGTTTACGCTCACCGACACAAATATATGGGCTGGCTACAAAGAGAAGCCGTCTGCCTATTTCCTTTTGAGGGGTAACTATGGTAATGCAGTTAAGACTCGATGACAGGGAAATAACCAGCTCGACATTTCTAGTTAGTTGTAACAGTCACTTACGACAAACGAGTGGTTCGACCATTCATTCAACAGACGACATAAGTCTCAAACAGGCAGGCCTAAACACCAGATAATTATCCATCAGCTAATCCTGCCTATGCGTTGTCGACATCAAACGGAGCAAAGAAAAAGGAACAAGGGACAAGGAACAAGGACCAGACCCTGATATTTAGGCTAGCAGATATGAGCAGGCACAAAGTCGTTAGATGTGACACCGGAGCCATGAAATGCATAGATAGTAGACTTGCAATCTGGTGACCCGCAAGCCTCAAATTTGCGAGTCTGTTACAACGAAATAATACGTTCAATGAAATAACAATGTGGAAGGAC